CGCAGGATGCGCAGCTAGCCCATCTCTCCGGCCAGGAAGAGCACGACGAAGGCATCTGGACGTCCATCGTGAACAACCCCTGGGCCTGCACCTGGTGTATCTATGCAATTTGGTGTATTATCCTCATCAGTTTCGATTTGCAGGCCGCTGGCGCAGTTGTCGGAATTCCGCAATTCCGCAAAGATTTCGGCTTCGAGTACAACGGCGATTTCGTGATCCCCGCTGGATGGCAGTCAGCCTTTAGTGGCGCCCCAGTAGCTTCGTCAGTCGAATTGTCAACTGTGCTTCATGATTGTAGCTAATGAAATGCTAGCGCTGTGATTTCATCACTCATTTCAGCTGAGATCGCCGATTGGATTGGACGCAAGAAGGTCCTCACTGGTGCCTTGCTCATCTCCTTCGCCGCCGTTGCCATTGAGTTTGTTGCGACTACAAATGCTGTCTTCTTTGCCGGAAAGCTGTTGAATGGTTTCATGGTTGGCGCTGTGGCTACCGTCATGGTCAGCTACATCGGAGAGGTATGTCTCAGATGTCGCCGACAGAGTTCAAAGTGACGAGTCTGACCTTATACAGATTACCCCTTTGGCCCTACGCGGTGTTTTCACCTGTGGTGTCGGAGTAGCTTACGGGATAGGGCCCCTCGTTGCCTTCATCGTTATCAACTATACGGGCAACGTCGAAACACGTTGGGCCTACCGAGCCGTGTTCTGTGCCCAGTGGGGCTTTGCCGGAGTCGCATTTGCCTTGGTTCCCTTCATGCCCGAGTAAGCTACCACGTTCTAGGCACTCAATCCCCAGCTAACCGTTAGATCACCTTGGTGGCTTATGTCTAAAGGTCGCACCGAAAAGGCCCTCAAGAGTCTGCGCCAGCTCGGATATCCAGGAGAAGAAGGCCAGAAGAGGCTTGCACTCATTGACCAGACGCTCGAACACGTCCGCGCCGAAACTCATGGCGTGACCTACATTGAATGCCTTCGCAAGTCGAATCTTCGCCGCACCATGATTAGCATTATGCCCCTCTGTATCCAGGCATTTTCAGGCATCGCCTTCGTGGCTGGTTACTTCACCTACTACCTGCAGCTTGCCGGTTACTCCACGGAGATGAGCTACCGTATCCAGATCGCACAGCCGGTTCTGTCCATTGTCGGCAACCTGATGGCCGCCGCCATGGTTGACAGGATCGGCCGACGTGACCTCACTTTCTGGGGCCTCGTTGTGCTGACTATTTTCCTGCTCATCACGGGTGGTCTGGGTCTAGGATCCTCGCAAGCAACGGTGACAGGCACCGTCGCCTTCATCCTCATCTACAGTTGGTGGTACAATGTGTCGATTGGTTCGACGGCCTTCTCGTTGCTGTGTGAGGTATCGACGTCCAGACTCCGTGTCAAGACTATCGCCATAGGATACGCCGTGCAGAACTCCATCAATGTGGCCTGGCAATTTTTGATCCCCTTCATGTTCAACCCGGATCAAGGAAACCTGGGTGCCAAGATTGCATTCATCTTTGGTGGCCTGACTCTCTTCTCGCTAGCCTACTTGTGGTGGTGCCAGCCAGAGACAGCAGGGCGGTCGTACCAGGAACTTGACGAAATGTTTGCGGCGGGTGTGCCTGCGCGGAAGTTCAAGTCATACAAGACGAACGTACAAATTCAAAACGAGGTAGCAGCTCAAGGGCTGGCAAAGGGGGCGCTCTAGGCTCGGCTGTCGGCTGGGTGTCGGCTGGGTGTTAAATGTTGCTGGTGGCATTGACTTGGTCAGAAGCTATCACGTGGTGCCAGGTTGCCTGAACCCGTGCCTCCTCTAGCCTACCTTAGTCCTAGGCACCCTCCTGCCCTATAGAATAGCTTTTCAACACTACGCCCTTTCTTCCACACCACTCGACCTCCTCTAACACTGAAAGCTTTGATTATGAGACTGAATAATGCATCCATATTGAGATCCACCTTGAAATCATTGCATGTATTGAATGTTATGATGATGTGCAGTCTTGGAATATACGATCGTACCTCCATCGTGAAACTCAATGCTTTCAGGCTTTAGCTGCATTGGCGGGCGCAACTATCACCTAAGGAGTCACTCATCAATGACAAAATTAAGACTTTGGTCAATTCAGGCTCTAATATTAGGTGCTCTTCCAATCCTCATCAAATGGCTGAAGAATCACCCTGCGATAGCTCGTTAATGCCGGTGTTCCACTGTCTGTCACTTCGAGAATCAGATGCAGCAGGAGGCCTCTCTCAATCTGCTTCTTCTCCCTGAACAGCACGCACGACTTCTCCCTCGGCGCTATCGTCACCTCAACCTTGCTGCCTTGCTCGTTCACCGACTTAATCTCAAGCTCTGACACCTCGGCTGTGTGATATGTCTGCTTGGCACTTGGCTCGCGGTACTGAAACCACTTGAACGCGAGTGTGTCGCCGTCAGGATCATAAGACGATGATGCATCGAGAGTAACGGTGCTCCCGGCCGCGACGTCTCGGCAGAGTGGCTCCAGACCGATATCGCCGTCGATGGAGATGATAGGATGATGATTCGCTTTTGTGAAATCGGGCGACAATGACCATTGCATACGCGCCGCAAAATCGTCCTGAAAGGCTGCCCGCCAGCGCCAAATGGTGGCCTTATTGCTGACATACACATTGCCATCCTGACCGATGACCATGTCGGAGACGTCAGCGTGGTGGCCCTTTGAAATGCCGTGCTCGGAAACATTAGTGGGTAGGTATCGACCGCCCCAAGAACCGAAGGAGGGCTCCTCCGAGACCCCGAGGCCATTTTGAATGAGATAGAGGAAGGTTGGGGTATCGCCCTCAATGATGAATTCAAAGTCGGGGTAGCATGCGCCCAAGGGTCCGATCTGAATGTTCTCCTTCAACCACTCCCCCAGTGATGCGCGATGTGTCGGGGCCAGTCTGGTCGCAAGGGGCGGATATGCCGGTCCATGTGGCATTTGCATACTGGTTCCAGCCGTGGACGGAGCATATGTAGAGGATTTCGGGCCACTGTTGGCGAACCCACGCGCCCGAGTCGTCCTGGTCGGAAATGCTGTAGACGCGAAGTTTGGAGCGCAGCGAAGCGGCATCAGGGCGGTCGCGGATGTGATGAAGGACTTGGGCGAGCACATTCGTGCCGCCCCAAACGAGGATCCAGAGGGGGCTTTCTGATGACGAGGTAATGCTCTCAAGAAGCAATTTTCCACCTTCGCTAAGGGGAACATCGTCACCTACAGCAGCCATGCCATAGACCGGAGGGCCAGATTTGACTATGTTGCGGAAGTAGTCGGCCGAGGGATAAGGATGGCTCGGGTGAACGTGAGCGTTCAGGTTGTCAACTACTTGAGCGTACCCGTCGATGATTTGATGGAGGTTTTCCGGAGCCACACTATCCCGGAGCCATGTTGATGTACAGGCAACGACACCTTCTGTTCGGAACTGGTTGGCGTAGGTCAGGTACCTACAGAACGACTCAGCATCATCTGGTTCATTGGTGATGTCGGTCAAGATGAAGACGCGAGGCTTGGTTGTGAAAGGGATTGAGCGGTCAAATGCAGCCATGGTGATGGTCGGTGTCTTGAGATAGTTCTTTTCGTTTGTGTATCTTGTGTTTGATCAGATTGCTTTACTGCGATACAAATGGTTGTCTTGACCAGAGGGGAGCAATAAAATGGTCGGATACAAGTCTCACATAGTATATCATTTGGGTAGTTGGACAGATGGCTGGGTCAGGGGCCGATTTTATCCGGGCCATCGGAGGCTCGTGGGGGGTTGACCCGACCCCTCAATCTGGAGTTGTGAATGGCTCAAAGCGGAAAGTTTAAGCACCACTAGCCGGACCATCGGATCCTGTTTCGGCTAGGAGTCATATCGGAACCTCGCTGCTCTTCGCACACCGAGCTGTTTGACCACAACCCACAAGCGTCAAGAATGATCCAAATAACGCAGCAGACGTGTCATGTTGCTTATCTGAATGTTCATGGATTATCAATGATCATTTGCCGCGATACAAGCTAAGGTAAAGACAGCAGCTGGAGAAGACGAAACAAAGATCGGATCCTATGAAAATCTACAGGCGGGAATTGAGTGTAAACTCTCCCGGAGCGTGGTAGTTCGGGACCTTCATGTTGAGAGCGTCGCCTGAGTAGCCCAAGTCTTCCGCAACGAGCATGGCTGCCTTCTCGCCGATCAAAAGGGCAGTCGAGTATCTTCTCATGTTAGCTATTGTTCTCATTCCAGACATCTGTAGATGGTAGCTTACGTGTTGCAACCCACGTTATCAGGGCAAATACTGAGGTCAGCAACCTTGAGGCCCTTGACGCCATGTACATTGAGGCGTTCGTCGAGGACGCCGTGCTTGACGATGCTATTGCCCTCGCGAGGCGCCATTGAACAGGTCTAGAGATTGGTCAGCTGGCATGACAACCCGTAGAATCTTTCAGTACTTACCCCAAGACTGTGCCAAGTCGTTTCGACGTGCCTCTTCACCCACTCCTCAACAGCCTTGATGTCGTCGTTGCTGTACTCAAGTGGCTTCCTCACGTCCTTGCAGCTGCTCGAGACGGTGAACTTCTTGTCTGCCCTCGTCTCGGCTTCGCAGAGGGGCTGCGTCCAGCTGCCATGCTGGATGCCTGCAGTCAGGTTGCCAGGCAGAGCGTACTGATTCGTGGAGGCTAGATCAAGATCAAGTGCCTTGGCGGGCGATGAGTAGTTGAAGGTAGGATGCATGTTCGCGACTTCGCCAGCATAGGCATCCATGCGACGCGCTGTCTCGCGCGATTTGATGTAGCCCCATACCATCGGGACCATGTCGCGCTCATCGTTCATGAAACCAGCGTCGAAGTCTGGGTTAGCATAAGGGTCGGCCGAGGTGATGTGAGTGCTTCCGCGCGAGAAAGGGTACTCGAGGAAGTGAAACATTGTGAAGAAGTTTCCGGGGGGCCTGTTTGAAGAGGATTAGTGCCCGACCTGTCGTGGAAGTCCGAGCGATACGTACATGAGCATATGGTCTCCGAACCACCCAGCAATGACGGAGTAGTGCATCACCGGCTTGTCAGGTTTGTTTTCAAAGTACGACTTCCAGCCGTCCTTGAAGTGTGGGGTCGGCCACCTTTCGAACTCTTTGAGTTCTTCCTTTGAGGGACGGATCTTGACTCCGGCATCAATGCCGTTTGTAGCCAGAGGGCCGGTGCCCTTGATGTTCCACTCATCGAAGACGCCTAGAGAATGTCAGCGAGGCCCAGCAACGAATGACACAAATACTCACGTTTCTGAGTCTCGGGGTCCCCTCTGACAAAGTTATCGAAGCTCTCCGTTCCAGGCTTTGCTCGGAAGACCGAGAAGGTCAGATAATGATCCTGGAAATTGAGCCCGACGCCAGGTAAGTCGACGATGGGCTTGACGCCAGCTGCCCTAAGCTTTTCAGGGTGGCCTGCGAGTGGTCAGAACCAAGCTGAGTAGATAATCTCACAAGGACTTCAGAATTCTTACCAATACCAGATCGCTGAAGGACGAGAGGAGACGACAGCGTTCCGCAAGAAACCACGATCTGCTTGCGAGCTCGGAAAATCCGAGGCTTAATCTGTGCGCGCTCGAGTGGCTTCATTGGTCTTGACAAAAGTTAATTGATGCCCAATCTGAATTAAAGGTTGTTCTTACACAGTCTGCACTGCTACAGCGCGGCCGTTCTCGATGATGACCTTGTCGATCTTGGTGTTGCAAGCCAGATAAAGATTCGAGTGCACGGCCCGCGTGGAATGAATGTAGGCGTGAGCACTATCACTGCGGCGGCCAGTCTGGATGGTTTCGTCAACTCCTATGATCTAGAAAATGCTTGCATGTACTAACGTCGCGGTTGATCCACTTGAGCCAATGCTCAGCACCATGGCCGATGGACAAGTCCTGGAGATCATCGACCACAGGAATGTCTTGAGATTCGGCAGCTCTGAGGAAGTCTTCCTTAATAGGATAGGTGCTGGTTGATATTGTGAGTACAAGCCTTTGTCAACAATCCAGCAAATTATGCTTACTAGTTGCCAAAAGACACCTTGATCGGGCCTTCGAAGCCGTGCGTGTCCCTGATTGTGTGTCAGCATGAGCTTTTTACTTGGCAGAACGACTATTTATACCGGTTATGAGAAGCCCGCTGATATGTCTCGTGCTTCTTCATCAAAGGGATCAACTCCTTCGTGGACCAGCCCTTGGCTTGGAAGTCGTCGTAATCCGAGGCTGACGCACGGGTGTACATCTAGCTCTCGTTAGAAGATGGGAATTTTCAACATCATCGCTCGAGTGTTCTTACCATGAAGTTGATCGAAGACCCTCCACCAAGGATGTTCGCACAAGGCACAATAGCCTTGCGGCCCGCCAGATGCTCCGACGGCCTGGACTCATAGAACGTGGCCGTCTTCGAGTCCAGCTTCATGTTGCGTGGGTAAATACCAGGCCGGAAGACCCATGGATTGTTGAGATTGTTCTCTCCGCCCTCAATGAGGAGGACGGAGAGATTGTGATCCAAATTGGCAAGCCTACAGAAAGGCGTCAGTGACGTAACCTGGAAGTACATTGAACAAGGGGACTGACCGCCCAGCAACGACACACCCTGTGCTACCACCTCCGCAAACGATGATATCAAACTCTTCAGGAATTGCACCGCTCATGGTCTGTTTCTGCCCCTGGCTGTTGGCTATTAGTTTACTTTGGATCAAATTCAGAGTTTGCAGCTGGAGGATAAGAGCTGCTTCAAGTCGAAAGTTTGCTGATCGAGACTTGGGAGACGAGTTTATGTAGAAAATTAGAGACCTTCAGTAGGCACAACAAGCCGCTGAACCCCATCCGATCCTTCCATCCAGTGCTAAAACCAGAGGCTGCCGCATGACCGACCCCTCACGATTGTCTCGATGATCCAGGCAGCTCCATGCAGGCTTGATGCCTGAAGCTCCTCGCCAACATCACCATCCAGCCTGCATTATTGGCCAATTGATTCATTGGCAGATTGGAGGTAGTCTTGCTTGGACACGGGCGTCCTAGCATCTGGAGAGTCTTTCTGTCCCCCCTCCTTCTCCTCAGCAGAACCCTATTCGCCCGGGAGGAGGCACATCAAACTTGGCGACGTATGCATCTTCTGGTCCCAGAAGGATCGAACAACCATGACCAGTCATTTATTTCCGAGTGTGGAGGGTTATGACCAGTCAAGTTGATACATAGGAAGAGGGGTAGAAGATGACCGGGCAGGTCATGGCACTCGGGCCGGACAAGTCAGCGGCCCAGATGGAAGCTTCGACGGTTGCAGCGGAGACAGCCTTGTACGGACATTTCCCGGTGACTGTGAAGATCATCTTGGAATTCATCAGCATCTCTGGAACTCCAGGCAGCCTCTCAGGCATGCAGTGTAGCGGCTGCGGACATTGATGCCATGAGGACGTCTTGCAGCATCGTTTTCAAGCGAGTTCCATGTATGTCCAAGATGCAGGAGACTGAAAATAGACAATACCAAAAGAATAAACCACCAAAAGATTCCACATACAATAGAGAACCCCCCTTGAACTGAATCCCCGGAGCTTCCGTTCGGTGATAGCTCGGAATGCATGGACAGAAGCAGCTTCCCCAGAATCTGCACCCCGCAACCTTGGCATCGGTGAAGAGGATGACAATGCCACACTGATCGGATAGAGGTCTCCTCCATGAAGGAGAAGGGACTATCGTTTTCTTGGCGATGATACGACTTCGACGTCAGGAAACATGGAGCTGCGCCCATTTCATGACACGGCGGTGCTGGTGTGGTCGAAGCTGAGGCTTGATTCGTCAGTAGCCAGCGTCGCAAACATGGGCACGGGATTGGATGAAGCTTTCCTGCAGCTACGCGGCTGTGCGCGAGCTTCCTCCCCTCCTTAGGCTCTGGCTGGAAGCTGGGGAAAGGAGGGGAAGGTCTCGGCAAGTGCTTCAAACATGTCCGTGTAGCCGTGTGTCGTGTTGGTGACGAGTTGGTCCTCTGTCGCTTTTCCCCCGCACGTTGACGTTGCATGTAAGTTGGGGAACGTCGGCAGTTAAATCTGGTTCAGTATGCTCCGTTTCCCCGGATGAATAGAATGATCATCTGAGTAAGACATTAGTCTTGCAGTTGCTTCCCCAATTTTACCCGCCGGCGGCGGATATGATGTTCGTGGATCGCTCGGGTCTGGCCATTCGGGGCAGTCCAAGTGTTACTGCATCCATCAGCCCTCTCTACCTAACCTTGTCGACAGTCAACGAGGTGGGGAACTCCTCCTGCTGTGCTACCTTGCGTGCCCTCATGTAAAAGAGTTATTAAGCGTGGCAACCCCTTCCCGCTGACCATGTTCTGATCCCATTTGATAAATTCTTAGGGGCCGTGTTTGCTGGTTACCAGAGAGGTCGACATGGAATGTGATGCCTTTGCAGCATGGTGGCTGAGCTAGGCCGAGCCGCATTACACAATAGGGAGGTTATAGGAAGCGCCCCGAATTGCTAAGGTGAGCGGCTACGGGGCAGATGAGACGCTGATCCCCGACAGCTCAGGGGCCTGGTTGGTGCCACAGCGCGCGCCGAGATTCCATGGTAACTCTGGCAAACTGGTAAGGCCATGGCACCTCATGTCTCGAAATCGGTCTGCGCACGTCAGTTGGGTCGGTCGCAATGAGCAAATCAATGTTCCATTCCCATGCCTTCAAGTCTGCCCGCTGTTGTGTTCCGCACCGCGACCTACTGAGTCTCGGTGTATAACCGCTCCAGGCTATCTGCAAGCTCGACCATTCCCCTTTCCGTCCTCCCGTCTCCCTTGTAGTCGCCTGCCATAACACCCCCCGCCAATGTAGCCGTAATCATGTTCACATAGGTCTGCACATGCGACGGTGGCATGTGCTTCGCGAAATGCTCAGCCAGCTTCTCCGGCTCTACCGGAACGATCGAAATGCTCTTCCCCGACGCCTTCTCAAGTGCCTGCCGAACATCAAGCGTTGAGTAGTGCCTCGGGCCGAACAATTCAAAGACGTAGGGGCACGAAGGCAGCATCTGGCCGGTTTCCAGTAGTTTCCGGGCACACGCGCGACCAACATCGACAATGCTCACCTACGCATCGTTAACCACAACGTTTCATGACACAGAAAATTCTTGTTGACCGACCATTGGGATCTCGTAGTCTGCTGGTGTAAAGACAGACTCAAAATGAGCGGGCTCCTGCTTCACTGTTGCGAAGGCTTGGGTCCAATTTTCGTGAAACCAGCCCGGCTTGATGACCACTACCTCAGGCGCGCTTGCAGCGAGAATTTTATCAGTGATATGATTGATCTTCAGAACACCCTAACAAATGTTAGTTGTCTTGGGAAAAAAATCGAAGCCCAATGTCGTGGTGTGCTGCCTACAATGGCATCGGGATCGTATTGAGAACCCATCGCCGAGAAGATAAGGACCCGCTTCACGGAGGCGCGCTCAAGGCCGGCCTTGACATTATTGGCGGCATTGGTGGCGAATTCGGCAACATTGACGTCCTCGAATGTGGGCGGCGGGATGTACAAGACAGCATCAGAGCCGGAGAAGTCGGGTGGGGCCTTGGAGACATCGCCTTGAACAAGCTCAAAGTTGGCATTGTCTGTGAACTCGGCGGGCGTCTTAGCTATGTCGCGGTAGACACCACGGACTCTGGGCTGGCTGGCGTGGCGGAGCAGGTTGCGGATCGTCTCTTTGCCGCCTTGTGAGGAGGCGGGGACGACGGTAATGTGGAGCGACATCTTGACTCTGCTAGTTTCACGAAGTTCGTGCTATCAGAGATGGCCTTTTCACTGATACTGTAAGCTGGGTGGCTTTCTTCTCGGCGCTGCATGTATTTAAGTTGTTCTCACTGCCCCAATCACCCCGATCATGGCTGGCCATGGTGCTGCTCCTGGGTCAGAGCACAATGACGCTGCTTATGGAATACTGGATGACCGAGCAAGAATCGAGGCGAAAGCTGACCAGTCAGTTGGCGACAACAGCCATTCGTCGTCTCGCTTCATCCTCCGCCAAGGAGGATCGGCCTGACAAATGCGATACGGGGCTAATCGGTGATGAACTAACTACTCTGGAGGCCGTGGGCTGCCTAGCCGCTGCGGCACAGCGCTCGGCGACGGCCCCTGCGGGTTCCGGCCAGAGCATCATGCCGCATTCCTGCGGCCCTGTCCCACTGCGCCTGGAAACCGCCCCAGCTGAATATGAAGGTGCAGCGCTTCGAGCACTGGATTTGATAGCTTCAGAAATGCTGTTCGAGAGCCCGGGAACTTCAGGGTCTGGTGTTATTCTGTTTCGATTGATGATGTTGTGGAAATCTGGTGCGTGAGCTATCAGGCGTAGTGGGTTGCCATCACAGGCCATTGTCAGGAGTTCACACAGCTACGTAGTGGGTTGGTGCAGTGACTGCCCCTAGATCTACAACCGAACATCCCGATAACTCACTGATTATGAGAGTCATTTAAGCGATTGCGTCGTTCTCCGTGAGTAGAGGAGGCGTTGGTCAGATGTCTTGGTGTGTGCCGCAGCCCTTCCGCAGCCTCGACTCCCATCCCTCAATGACCAAGAGCACGTCGTGTAGGGGGCAAAAGAAAAAACGCCGCTGCTGTCACAAGGAAAATATTCTGTTGTAACTCTCATAGGGCTGAGGCTAGAGTATAGCCCGCGGCCTTCATGTTGTTGAGCGCTGTGCCCAGTGCCGCTGCGCTGATACAGGCGGGGCTGAAGGCCGCGGACTTCGGCCTTCAGCTGGCACGGGCGCGGCGTCCAAGTGGAGGTGCCGCGCTTTACCCTCCGTCGCGCACCTCAGTCACGTTACTTGCAGTGGACGAAACGACAGTCAAATTGACGATGTCGGCACAACTGAGATGCGTAAAAGGCGGTTTCGCTCAACGGGGATGGAAAACGCGGCCACCGCTAGAATGAACTATCTTCCAATCTATTATGCGGCTGGATGGATATAAACAGGTCGTTCGTCGCTTCGTAGTTCATCAGAAACACTAACTCTTCTGCGGCATCTGACTCGACCCCATTACACGACAAAGCTGACTACTATCTCGGACGAGACTGCGACAACTATAAACTCAAGAAGAAAAGCCGCTGGTACTAGGCCAGATCAAGAGCCCTCAGTATGGCGGTTCGAGAGACGTCATCTGCCCAGCCAACATGGCTCGATAGCGGTACCATGAATCCTCAACACCCCACAGAAGAAAATAAATTCAACACGACAGATAGTGGCCCGGATGATGCTGAAATCAGCAATCAAGTCGACACGTTGGCTAGACAAATATCCAGAGCCTCTAATACAATCATCCAACAAATGCACGAATTGACACCCGGTTCCGGGTCTCGTCTCGACCCTGCATCGGTATCTTTTGACGGCAGGGCCTGGGTCAAGGCTTTCCTTCAACTCGCACAGTCAGACCCCCAGGCTGCCCCGATGCGAGTCCTTGGTGTTGCTTTCAGGTCCCTGAATGTCTTTGGCTGGAGCACCGGCACCGAAAGTCAGATGACGGTCACCACCCGCATCACAAGCTTGTTTCAGTCAATTGCTCAGTTGGCAACGGGAAATAAGCAAAAACGCCGAATCGACATTCTTCGTGACTTCGAAGGTGTTGTGGCTGAAGGAGAGCTTCTACTTGTCCTAGGACCTCCAGGTTCGGGCTGTTCGACTCTTCTGAAAACGCTGGCTGGCGAAACCTCTGGGCTCCAAGTCGCCCCTGAATCTTATCTCAACTTCCGCGGCATTCCCTCCCAAAAAATTCGATCGTCCCTTCGAGGCGACGTGCTCTACAACGCCGAGGTCGACACCCACCTCGCGCACCTGACAGTTGGCGAAACTCTCTCCTTCGCTGCTCGTGCACGATCGGTTCGCAATGTTCCTAGCGGACTTTCAAGGGCACAAGCTGATGGCATGATTCGCGATGTCATCATGGCCGTCTTTGGTATCGGCCATACCATTAACATTCGCGTAGGCAACGACTTCGTACGCGGCGTCAGCGGAGGTGAGCGTAAGAGGGTTAGTATCGCCGAGGCGGCGCTCACCGGGGCCAAGTTCCAGTGCTGGGATAACTCCACGCGAGGATTGGATAGTGCGAATGCGGTAACGTTCTGCCGCAACTTGAGGGTGCAATCTGATCTTTTGGGTGTTGCGGCTGCTGTGGCCATCTACCAGGCCCCGCAGTCGGCCTACGATGTGAGTCCACGATGCCCATGAGGCGAACTACTGTCATTTACTGATGTGTGTTTAGCTGTTCCACCGCGTCACTGTATTGTACGAAGGGAGGCAGATTTTCTTTGGAAAGATCGAAGAGGCGAAATCTTACTTTGAAGACTTAGGATTTGAGTGTATGATTCTCCATGTTGCCCACCCACCCTTTGCACCTGAGTCGATCGCTAACATCATTGGATAACAGGTCCTCCAAGACAGACGACCCCCGATTTCCTTACCTCTATGACAAGCGCAAGCGAGCGACGAGCTAGACCCGGATACGAGGACCAGGTCCCTCGCACGCCCGACGAGTTTGCTCAGCGTTGGAAGTCGAGCCGTCAACGACAATCTCTGCTCCAGGAGATTGATGGCTATGAAAGATTACATCCGACAGAGGAGAGGTTTGCGGAGTACGAAGCTTCGCGCCGCGCCGAGCAAGCCCGTTCCCAGCGTCCCGGTTCACCCTATACGATTTCCTATCGGCAACAGGGTCGAACTGACCCTGTGGCGCGGCTGGAGAAGACTTCTTGCCGATCCATATTTCACCATCGCCCAGTTACTTTTCAACCTCATCATGGCGCTCATCCTTGGCAGCATGTTCTTCAACCTCAAGGAAGATACATCGAGCTTTTACTATCGAGGCGGCATCATTTTCTTTGCCCTGCTTCTGAACGCCTTTGCAAGCCAGCTTGAAGTGCTCACTGTTTACGAAGAGCGTCCCATCGTCGAGAAACATAACCGCTACGCCTTCTACCATCAGTCAACACAAGCTATTGCTAGCTACCTCATGGATCTCCCCTACAAGATGGTAAACATGTTTATATTCAACCTCATCGTTTACTTCATGGCCAATCTTCGTCGGGAGCCCGGTCCGTTTTTCTTCTTCTGCCTGACCAGCTTCATCGTCACGCTCATCATGTCGTCCCTCTACCGCACCCTCGCCTGCGTCACCCGAACATCGCACCAGGCGATGGTCCCAAGTGCCATACTCAGCATCGGACTCATGGTGTACACAGGCTTCACTATCCCAACAATGTACATGCGCGGTTGGTCACGCTGGATGAACTACATCAACCCTCTTGCTTATGGGTTTGAGGCTCTAATGGCAAATGAGTTTCACGACAGGGAGTTTCCTTGCGAGGGTATCATCCCTCACGGAACTGGGTACGATATCCTCCCTAGCGACTCCACGGTTTGTCCAGTCGTTGGCGCCTTGCCAGGCAGTGCCACGGTGCAAGGTGACAGGTACATCAACATGGCATTTGCTTACTATCATGGGAACAAGTGGAGGTAAGTCATCATTGGAGGCTAGGGTTGGCGGCAGACATGGCTAACTGCAAGGGTCAGAAATGTCGGTATCCTTATCGCATTTCTCATATTCTTTCTGAGCGCCTACACCACGGCCGCTGAGTTCGCCAAGCCGCCGAAAAGCAAGGGTGAGGTGTTGGTGTTCCCGAAGGGCAAGCTTCCGTCAGAATCGACCAAAACGGCTGCAGGTGACCTTGAAGAACAACCTATTGGCCGGACAGCTATTTCGCAAAAACCCGCTAGCGATCGCTCGGCTCCAACCCTAGTGACCGGGACGGCTGTGTTTCATTGGGAGAATTTGTCGTACGACATCAAGATCAAGGGTGAAGACCGGCGGATTCTTGATCAGGTTGACGGCTGGGTGAAGCCCGGCACGTCTACAGCGCTCATGGTATGTTCCTTCTCCCTTCGATCGTAGTTTCGAGATCAAGCTAATGAAACAGGGCGTTTCTGGTGCCGGTAAAACCACCCTTCTCGACGTCCTCGCCACCCGGGTTACGATGGGCATCGTCACCGGCGATACCCTCATCAACGGCATGCCGACGGACTCCTCTTTTCAACACCGCGTGGGCTACGTGCAGCAGCAAGACCTACATCTCAGCACCGCCACTGTCCGCGAGGCTCTCTCTTTTAGCGCTATTCTTCGCCAGTCTGCCGAAGTTTCTCACTCTGAGAAGCTCGCCTACGTCGACCAAGTCATTGATATGCTCGACATGCAGGCATTTGCCGATGCCGTTATTGGCGTGCCGGGCGAGGGCCTCAATGTTGAACAGCGGAAACGACTCACTATTGGTGTGGAACTCGCAGCGAGACCGCAACTGCTCTTATTCCTCGACGAGCCGACTTCAGGCTTGGATTCGCAGACTTCATGGTCAATTATTGAGCTGATCAAGAAGTTGACGAGAAGTGGACAGGCTGTTTTGTGCACCATCCATCAGCCATCGGCTATTCTATTTGGTGAATTCGATCGCCTGTTATTGCTTGCGCCAGGAGGCAAGACGGTATATTTTGGAGGTGAGTCTGGCGAATCATACCATCATGTCAAAGGAATGTACTTACATGATGCAGAGCTCGGAGATTCGTCCAAGACCCTCATAGAGTACATGGAGCGAGGTGGTGCCCCGAAGTGTCCTGCTGAGGCAAACCCAGCTGAATGGATGCTCAACGTGATAAAGCCTTCGACGAAGGACAGCTCCCCTATCGACTGGTATCGAACCTGGCGAGCTTCTCCCGAGTTTGAAGCCGTCAAGCGTGAGCTGGACCGGCTTCGTGCTCTTGAGATAACCGTGCCGACTCCTAACGAAGACCATGAGTCCCAATATCGGGAATTCGTCACATCATTCCAGACGCAATTCTGGCAAGTTTTTGTCCGAACTCATCGACACTTCTGGCGGTCACCCACTTATATCTGGTCCAAAATACTGATGATATCTATTTCGGTAAGCGGTGTACTCTGCATGTGTCGTATCCCAAACTAAGAATATTAGTCCATATACCTCGGGTTCAGCTTCAGGGCAGCCAACACGATGCAAGGCCTGCAGAATCAACTTTTTGCAATTTTCATGTTTCTTGTTCTTTTTGGAAATCTCAATGAGCAGATAATGCCCATGTTTGTACCACAACGTGATCTCTTCGAGATTCGAGAGCGGCCATCAAAGATTTACCGCTGGAATAGTGAGTGCCAACCCGATTGTCCGTCTTAAATCGAAAGCTAACCGCGTAGCTTTCATTCTCTGCAACATACTTATAGAGGCCGCTTGGAACACGCTTATGGCTGTCATTATTTTCGTCTGTTGGTATTATCCGGTCGGATTTGTCATGAACACCTCGCCGGGGGACGAACACTCCCGTGGCCTCCTCGTGTTCTTCTTCCTCTGGATGTTTATGCTGTTCACCAGCACTTTCTCGCACTTTTCAATTACGTGGATCCCCACTGCCGATACTGCTGGTGTATTCGCGAGCCTACTATGGATGCTCTGCCTCTGTTTCTGCGGGTAGGTGATCAAACCTGACTTAGAATACACCTCAACTGAATCGCATTACTAACAAAGTTAGTGTGGGCGTTGCTAAAGCGGACCTTCCCAGTTTCTGGACCTTCATGTACTATATATCTCCCGGAACCTACCTCGTCGGCGGCGTCATGTCCTCTGCCATCGCCAACGCAGAGGTTACCTGCGCGGCAAGCGAGATCCTGCGCCTTGCACCACCAAGCGGGATGGACTGCCTTGAGTTTCTCGGTCCCTTTGCTGCGGCTGCGGGCGGAAACCTTTTGACACCTAATGCGACGGAAACGTGTCTCTACTGTTCCATCTCGAACACGAATCAATTCTTGGCGCGGTACAGTATCAAGTACGCCACCAGATGGCGAGACTTTGGCGTCTTGTGGGCCTATGTCTTGTTCAATGTCGGCGCTGCGTTGGGTCTATACTGGTCGTTTAGAATGTCGAAGGGCAAGGGCACGAAAAGGGGTTAGACGGGAAGATGAGGTGCAAGTTTCAAAACCGCGAGGACCGGGATAAATGTTCGTACTAATGATGTGGAAGTACCCCAACCCATAGATTTCCTATTTCTTGTCTCCCCATTTTGTTTCCTTTCGTATCGCTGAGTAGGCAATTCTTCTTACGTGTTGAACAGCTCAGCCATCCGTCATGTTTGGTTGTTTCCGCTGGCTATTAATCAGGTATCGAATTTCACACATGAAAGAAAAAAGATGATAATGCTTCAATGGGAACGTTTCGCCCAAAACCAGTGATATCGCCACAGTGGGGAGCTTGACAAGCGTACTGACTCAAAGGAACCAAGGATGTATCAGGATCTCTCCGGCCGAAGGGCGCTTCCTAGGGTCATATTGTAAAATCCAACCCAGAAGCGATAAGACAACAGCCTCCTCAGGCCCCTCCATGTCGTCCGGCTTGCACTTTCAGTGCTATTGTTCGAGAGACATATAAGACTTAGCAGCCGCAAGAGACGACCCTCTTTCTGACCAAACTCCATTGCCCTGTGAGCGGTTGTCGCCTGACTCCAGTGTTGCCTGGCTGCTGTTTTCAGCATCACTCACATCGCTTTCTCCGTCATGGATGAGGAATTCTCCTTTTGGCCCGTAATGTTGCGGCCCTTGTCGCCAGTGGGTGAAAAGACTAGCAGGCAATGGCCCCAGGACTCGAGTCAATTGGATGAGATGTTCATCATTCGTTTTTTATCGGATCAACATGATGGCCACAGCTGTTTAGTTTCGATGGTCAAATCTCGATAAAATAGAAGCATTCCAACCTTCAAACTAGGTGACCATTGACTGTGTGCGCTCTGTACGATATCAGTTTCAAACACTTTTTAAGTTCTGCATTCCTCCTTTGCTTTGTTGGAGCATCCTGTCGACGACTCTGATATTGATTCCTCGCAATAAGCCCAGCGACGTACTGCTCTCTTTGTTGAAAAGAGTCCGCACATGGAGATGTTAATTTTCAATCTTGCCTTTCAAGAAACCCTTCTATCGCTGTGCTTTATGTCAGTCTTAACCCTTTGCATCACCCGCCTGCCACATCCCTTCCCTGCTGATCCCTATCGACCTGCCTGCCCTAAGCCGAAGTTATACTCCCTGTTTGAAGCTATTGCATCCAAACTAAAATTATCAGCAAGAGCTCTCGTCTCTAATAGGACCTGTGTCGCTCTTGGTCTCCTTGTGGCTTCAATCTGCTTGAGAACAGAGGGCACATTCTCTCGAGAGATGTTCGGACCAAGGAGCAGGCGCAGGCTCCCAGCGTCTTCCATAGACATGTTAGCTCCCTGACCCTGAAGTGGCGTCATTGCATGGGCAGCATCTCCAATTAACAAGGCCTTTCCTCTCGTCCATGTCGGAAGCGGGTCGAGGTCTTGGAGATCCCACATCTTCACCTCTGTTGCAATGCTTTTGATCGAATCAGCGCCCGCTCTTGCCCTAGTGAACTTCTTCAACATCCTCAAATAAATCAAGGGTTCTCACCGTAAGAGTTTAACAAGCGTTGACGAGAAGTCGGAAAAGACTTCCAGCATCTCACTGCGATCGCCTTCAGCATACCAAGTGGAAGCAGTGCTGCTCTTGAGTCGTTCAGGATTGGTTGGGAAGATACACGAAAGGTTCATGTATTCAAAATTGCGAAGCGGGTAGGCAACGATGAAGCGGTTGGAGGCATCTCCAGATTCGAAGACCACCCCACGCCCTTTGCCAGTAGAACGGTCCCACCATTCAGGTATTTTTCCGAGGGCCGCTTCAGCATCCTGAGCCGATACAGCGATGCGAAAGCACGAAAGCCCCATTTTCTTCGCAAAGTATTCGGGGCCAACGATGCAGGAGCGTAAGCGTGAGTGGACACCGTCAGCAACTGATGTATGTTAATGATGTTTCAACCGTCCTATCACTCTCACGGTTGGACTAACCAATAATGACATCGGCTTCGGCTGATGATCCATCACTGAGTGTGACCTTGCCCAGGTCAGGGTCCATATCCGTGACTGCAGAATTGAAGTTCAACGTTGCTGGCTCCCCTCGAATATTCAAGTCTTTTGAAGGTGCCGTTGCGAGTCTGTATAGTTCGTTGCGTAGATCACTCCGCAGGTGTTGCAATGCGTCTGCTCCGTATTGTTCCATAAAGTCCGTCTCGTCGTCGTGCTTCAAATTGCCGTGCTTATCGTATGCTCGGTGACCAGTCTGCACCACAGCCTTAGTTCTAGTGCGGTCATATCCATGAGCTTCCAAGACCTTGACTCCGTTTGGAAAGATACATATGCCTTGACCTCCAGTCGCCACTGCGCGGTCACCTCGTTCAAACACAGTGACATGATGCTGTTCACGGAGAACCCGTGCGGCTGCCAAGCCAGCAAGTCCAGAACCAACGATGATAATGCCTAGATTAGCGGTTTCCATAGCTGAGGTATCGAAATTGCCAGAATGAAGTTGGACGAATGATTGGCTTGTATTAAAGGTGGACTACTCGACGTACTTTGACGAAAGGCGGAGCAGCTTTATAGTTATGTTAACTTGGGCGTTGGCTCCGATACTTCCGGGATCTGGAGTCAGTGAATGATGTGCTAGGTTGTCTCTTGGGTGACTTATTGGGCAATTTAAGAACGCTTAGCAAGCAACTGTCGATCGTCCAAGGCCCGAGCGGAGGTTCGGGCCTTTCTATCGAGGTACTCTGTTCCTTTCGGTGAGCTCCCCGTTGGGCTGCCATGGGATCTCGGTGCCTTCTATTCTGAAAAGCCTCTCAATGAAGATTCGACATTTCTCGACCCATTCGATGTCATCTTCTGATTTTCTTGCAAGTTGGGCTCGTAGCCTGTGATGGCCTTGCTTCCCTGGCCTTCCTTTATACCTTCAACGTTAGCCCACCAGCATTCTGACAGCGAAGTCTGTGGCTTTAGTCAAACTCCGCCCCTATCCAAGCAGTGCGGCAGAAAAAACAGCCCGAGCACTCTGAGCTGGTTTTGGTCCGATAAACCGAGCGGCGGTATCTGTTTCACCGTATGAGCAATGTTGGAATGGTCGCTCGTCGCGTGACGAGCAATGAAACGTTACAGTATTCATGTACGCGCTGAGGCGGACATTGTCCTCCTTACAGCCGAGGCTGTTCCTACTATGGGTTGATGCTGTAATTCCTTCAGCGGCTTCGCTGTTCGCTGCAAAAAAAAAAAGAGCCATTGGCGTTGGCGTTGACATGATGTCATGTGTATGGAAGCAATTTATCTCCGCACTTCGGGTGCAAAAAGCAGCAGAATAGTTATACGGAACTCCGCCAGTCACCGACACACTGTGTATAACGGACAAACAGAATTACAAGATCGAGTGCGGAGCGGAGTTCCTACGTCTTCAGGGTCATCTATCGAGTGTAATCTGTTTCCGTCGGTACATTCATTCTCAGTATTCATGCAATGTAAGGTAACTGCGCAGGGCATCAATGGTGTATTTTAAAATTAGTGCAGCCCTCCCGATAGTCTGATACAAGGGCTATGGGGTATGTCATTGGACTCCTTTGTTCTCTTTATTTAACAATAGTTCATTCAAGGCCTCTTTCCAACGAGAGGCTAGGCAACCAGCTGTCAGGAGACCCCTGCGGAGCCACGGTACAGAGGGCTGGTCAGGAGCTAAGGGTTACGAGGGCGTCTGTATGAGGACCGCGGAGGGCCAGAACTCAATGTATTCCCACCCCCTACTATATTCTGTTGCCTGTGGACCACGCGTGTAAGACCTCTTCCCTCTATTGTATACCACGCATTGACACTAGCGTCTCATAGTGATGGAGATGCCATGTTCTTACGTCTAGGTAAATTAGTCTATGATTATCCTCAGGGGCGGAGTATCTGCCGGATAGTGGCGACTATTCTACTTTGTACAATTGACTTCATCAACAGTTCCGAATCCAGTGACATAAATCGATGAGCCCGCACTGTCAAACGACCTTCCCACACCATATCGAAGCTTGATATCTTTCAAATTCTCAAACGGATCCCCGTCCGTCCGCGAACTGCAGGTGTCCTGGAGAGTCTTGCTCGTGCTTACCGCCGTGGCAAACTGCAACAGGCTTTTGCCGGCCGGTTGTCCATTCTTCCACATGGCCCAGATGCCATGAATGTAAACCACGCCAGCCACCAGCAGACACACACCATAAGGCAAGAAGAATTGCAGCTTCGAATCAAAGATATATGTTGCGCCGCCCTCGAGAGCCGGAATATCAGGCCCGTTCGTCCAGAGCGGCTTGTTCTTTGGATTAAGCGACAGTGTTGATATGACAATGTCTTGGAGGTATTTTTGAACCGTCTCGGGCGTCAGGGATACTTGCGGGTTGAATCTGTCGGTCATGCCAATATATGGGCTACCAACCACGTAAGTCATGTTGGGCCATAGCAAGGCGGTCTTCGTGGCACCTCCACCATCAGAGACTACACAGACAGGTTAAAACAAAGCAATAGAGAAGACAAGCTCATGCATAACTCACATCGTCGGACATCGCCCACCAAGGCTTGAACAGCAGCCTCTCGAATAGCGTATGCTTGTGTATTGGCATACACCTTGTGCAGCTGAGTTTGGTTGACAGCCTCGTCCATGAGGTTCCCGGACTCACGGTCGTAGAAATAGTCGTAGAAGCGCAGGGGAATCGGGTTCTCGTCGTCCCAAAACTCCCTTTCTCCGGTCACTTTTGTGTTGAAGATGCGGGTTCCATTCTCCTCATTCGTCATCTTAACGTTGTAGGTCGCGAGTTTCACGGAACAGTCCATGGTCCGGAGTGTCGAGTTTCGGCAAGCCTCTTCGTCGTTTCTCTCAGTGTGCCACGATAACCGCACTGAGTTGTTGCGGATCAAAAGACCGTCTCTTACGCTCTGCGATTTCGCCTTGAAGACGACATCCGTGCAAGGCTTAAAGAGAGTGTACTTCGTCGCGTTCACCTGTTTGCATTCGAAGCTTGGCCCGTCGAACTGCATGTCGTATGTGCAAGGACCACTGCATGGCGTGGGAGGTGCAACAGGCTCGCCTTGCGCTAGAACCGTGCGGGCTAGAGTAGTAAGCTTAGGCTGGACATTGCTGTGCATTGGTAGACTATCAGAATCGGAGATGACACATTTCAAGGGTGATGGGACGCTCACATGAAATCCAGATCGGCGTTAAGGTCGAAGAGGGCGTGGTCGACAAACCCACGATAATTGCCAGGGCCCCAGTAGGAGATGTTCAGGGTTGGCACTGCTGATAGCGTCACTGGCACGATGCTGTTGCGGAACTCGACCGTCAAACAACCAGGAGGAAACATGCCGGCTAGAGGCATCAACACGCAGATCAGGGCCGCCAGCCAGGGCCCAATGGCACTGATAATAACCCGAGGCCGAGCAAGATCCCAAGGGCTGTCCGGCAGCGAGACGAGCTTGTCAATAACAAAAGCGCTCAGTGTTTTTTGGCGGAAGAACCTCCAGAGCAACTGGGTGTAGGCAATGCTCACTCCAGAGACGAGAAGTAGCTCTGCGACAAGTGCCATGAAACTGGCCATGGCATTCTCAATGCTTTGCGTCAATCTCGTGGACCGGACGGGCGTCCCGTCAAGGTACTGGAAGAGGCTCAGATGAGCACCCATGACTGCCACCGCTGTGCCTATGTCAGTCCCCCCAGTACTGTGAAAAGAATCGAGGCGCCGAACCAAGGGTGTAGAACAATGCCATCTGTAGCAGAGTCATGATTGTACGACGTCTTGTGGCTGGCGGCGCTTGTGGCACTGCATGGGGCAGGAAGGAATCTGATGGCAGCGAGACTGCCGACGGTGTGGCGGTCCATTTCTCTTGGTCCTTGCGTACTGGCATGATGCCTTGCCAAAACCGTTGCTCAAATCAAGATTCGAAGGAACGAGGGTGTTTGTAACGTTTGGCAGGTGTCAGACAGGATAGTGGAAGTAAGCCAGGATGCGTGAGTGCGTACCGAAGACTGGATATAAAGAAACTGCTTCGGCTTACATACCGAGCGCTCAGGAGGATTCAGGGCCAAGTTGCGTTTAGCACCCAGCGGCCCAGCTAAAATCCCCCATGAACCCTGCAGCGACATGCTTGGCATCCAGGGGTTGGAAATCGTGCCCAAAGGGGCCAATCATGAGGGCCACGAAGACTGGCCTATGTCTATAAATGGACGGAGGATTCTTACCGATGTCCAGACTACAGATTACTGTTTCGACGCAATGCTGCAATCCGTTAATTCAACAGGGGCTGGAACGAACTGGAGCCTGAGATCTCACGAAGGATTCTTTCAAATGGAGCCTGAAATCCTACCAAAGCAGCAGATCCCAGTCACGTGTGCGCTTCTCATTCGGCAATGAATTTTGTGATGATCCCGGCCGGCCGGTGTGACAGAACAGAAAAAGGAGGGCTGGTCGCCATACATAGGTTCGTGACCAGGCCGTCTCTCACCTGCCGAGATCTGGACCCAGTTCATCACTCTCTACTTCAACTCATCCATCAACACAGCGCTCAACGGCCAGCCCAATTCCGCACCAATTGCTTCACCGCACAGCAGCTAGAGGTCCTTTTGTCGTTGAGTTGGGTGATGTATACAGAAGGGAACGAGATTAGCGTACCAATGCTTCATGCATCCAGCATCCAGACGTGTTTGCAAGGAGACCTCCAAACATATCTCCTCCTAATTGCCCTGACCCAGGAGAACAAGGTTGGCAACGTTCATGCTAGCGATCGCAATCCACACCAGAACAGCAATGACAGTGGTGTACCATGAATTCGCCAGCCGGACGGTGATGATGCTGCGTTCCCCGGCCGCCACATCGCGAACACCACCAGCATGCTCACCCTCATCGCGCATCGAATCAACCTGAACCGTCATGAACTTGCCGCAACCGGTAAAGTAGATCAGTGGTGCCGTAAGAAAAGGAAGGACGACACTGAGAACGACCTGTGATGCGTTGAGAGCAGCGCTGATCCCCTGCCGACCCACCGCCCCTGCGATGATGACACTCGGCGTGATGCTGATGCTCCTCGTGACCAAACGACGCAACCAGGGTCGCATCTTCCAGTTCAGCGCGCCCTCACACACCATCTGGCCAGCAATAGTGCAGACTATGCCAGCTGAGACGCCCGATAGCAACAGTGCCAGCGCAAACATGGTGCCAGCCGCGGTCGAAATTGACTGCGACAGAAGCTCGTGAATGCTGAAGATATCGGCATCGGAGGCATTTGGAGCTCCATACAGGGAATCGCCTGCGACGATAAGGATGGCTGAGTTGACAAAGAGAGCGAAAGTGAAAAGGGCAATGCCAAGTTCGAAGGAAGACATGGTCATGGCATGACGTATGGCTTTGAGAGAGGGCACATACTGGCTTTTATCAACATCCTCTCCGTCCTGTTGGGCTGTAGATGCGCTCATGGAGAGCAAGCCGTTCTTGGCGTCAAACTCCCGCAGGCGGGGCTGCACAATGCCGGAGCCAAGATAGAGGCTGTGCGGCATGACAGTTGCACCAAGAATTCCGCAGGCTTGGTATAAGCTTGGCGTAATTAGCGCTGTTTTCAGTCCGAGACAGGCTACAGAAGAGCGCCAACATACCCTTTACGTTGTATAATTGCCTTGGAAGGTAGGTAGCCCTTGAAGATGTCTCCAACAGGTGTTTCCTTGATCATCGATAGTTGAATACAGAAGCAGACTACGACGCTTAGGACCAGACACGCAATGAAGCACTCAAAGATTCGAAGTCCCTTCATAGACCCTTTTGGATTATAGAAGTAGAGCGTCACGAAGACGTCTAAGATTGAAATGGCGCACCCAACCACCAAAGGCACCGCGGGGATGAGAAGATTCAAAGCGATTGCGAAGCCGATAACCTTCTTATTGTTAGAAATCACGACGCTGCAGGATGGTAGACAAGAGAAAAAACGTGAAGGAGCTGACCTCTGCAATATCCGTTGCAATTATTGCTATCTCAGCAAATATGTATAGCACCAGATTGAGCCACCAGGGAAGAAAGGCGCGGCAGCACTCGGCGAGGTTCAGTCCCGTAACGGTTCCCAGCTTTATGCAAAGCGTTTGGAGGAATATCGCGAAAATATTCGCAAGGAGAACGACGAACAGTAGCCGATATTCGTAGCTTGCGCCTGCAGCGACGTCCGTTGCATAATTTCCGGGATCGACTTGCGATATCGTTGTCAATATTTCTATCAAGTCGAGCTCAGCATCTGGGGCTTACTGTATGCAACAGCGATCATAAAACCGGGGCCAATGAATGTGCCAAATTTCATCAAGCTATCTTTTGTCCGCTGGAGAGCAGACTTGCATCCAGAAGCATATCTATGACTTCTGCGCATGGAAGTCGAGGGGGAATTAGGGAGGAGGGTTGGATCATGAGATCCGACCGCCCCTCCCGAGGGCTGACCAGCGGAATCGCCGGTCAGCCAATGGTGTCTATTTTCGCCGGACGGCGTAGTCTCGCCATGATTCTCATACCAAGGCGGCCCGTTCTTGAATCGCAAGAGCTCATCTTTCTGCCTCGCTTCCCGAGCATTGGCAATGCCGTTGAGATCCTCGTTGGTAGTCAGGTCATTGGGCAGAGAATTTGGGCTCTGATTGTGCCCTTCACCCTCGTAAGGCTCGTCAGTTCGTGAGGGGCGGTTCATGGTTTTTGCGGCCGTCGTGAGTAATCGTGGTTGATGAAAAATGAATTTGGTCGGAAATTGATCACAGAAGATGAACAACGGCTGAAAATCCTCTATTCAATTTAAAAATGGAGGCTACGTTTCGCGTTACATGCGAGGAGTCTACCAAACGGGAGAATCAGTGTTTTGTTTTGCTGTCCACGTCACCATTGCTGCCGGCTACCCGTGCTAGGGATGCCCAACCCGCGTAGGATTGCCATGGTTCTCGAAAGCGGCCAACACGACAATGTTAGCGCCTGTTCTTTGGCGACACGGAAGGTTTTACGGAACACGAAGTGGGGGGGGGGGGTCAGTTCCATCACCTCACGGCTGCATGACACCCGTGTGTCCTTTAGCTGCGTTTGCACGGTGAATGGCACAAGAATGATGTTCCTAGATTGTGTATTGGTAAGAAAGACGTCGAAACCGTGTTTGATCCCGTATCTGATCACACTCGAATGGCTGTCAACCCCATAACACTGCTTCCTAGCCGTCGAACATAACCTAACGACCACCATCAGTCAACCCCAGCGATCCCAACGCAACGTCGGGACCCATGGCCCACTCCGGGAACGCCGTGCCAAAGATGGACCGAAAGTCGCCGGCATCCCACATCTGCATGTCGGTCGGGACCTCGAAGTTTGCTGGCGTCGGATAGCTGAGATAATCTGATCCGATCGTATTGGCCCATGATTCCTCGGCTGCGGGATCGTCCTGCTGCATCTCCGTTGAGGGCTCTCCCGCCTTTTCTCGCGTCCCTGGGCTTTCCTTTGGCCCGAGCGCGTCATCTTTGGCATCTGATGCGCGTTCGGCTTCAGTGATGCCTTGCGTCTGCACTTTGATAAAGTACTCGCGCGCAATCTGCGCAAACTCGGGGATCACTCTGCCCGGCAGTGCTCCCTTGGACGCAAAGTCGATCATGCTGAAATATCCTGCTATGGTGTCCAGTAGCGTAAGGTTTGCCCTCGTCTCTCGATGGAGAGGGTTGTGGATGATGAAATCAAACAAGATGAAAAGCGCCGTCAGCGGCATGATGCATGTGATTCTGACTTAGTCAGCTACACGCAAAAAATAAAAGTGAAAAAAAAACATTTGAAATGCCCATCTGGAAAAGAATGCAAAGAACGGCTAAGAGAAATGACACTTACGCAACAGGAACGTATGGCTCAAGCTCAATGTACCGTGAGAGATCCACAATCGTTCTCGCGGCATTCATCAAGTTGACCCTGCTTCGCTGGCTCGCGGCACCTCTCTCCTTGTCGAGATGCAGAGTAAGGCGCTCAATGGAAATGATGAGACCAAGGTAGAGATAATGCGTCTGGAGCACGGCAAGCCTCGTGCTGGCGTCCGTCAGAGCGTCGAAATTGGCCGGCTCGCAGGGACGGAACGCAGCCGGGATGCCCATCCTCCACTCTTCCAACAGGCCTCTCATGTGTACAATGGCAGCCTGCAGGACCGGCGCGGACTTTTGCGCCGCCGAGATGGAAAAAAGAGACTGATAGGCTACGGACGAGATGCGGCCAATCCGAACGAAAGTCAGGAAAGCGTTGTACGCCCCGACAACAGATTCCGGTGTGGACGGGGCCGGGCAGGCAATGTCTTCGTCGGGGATCATGGAAGAACAGCGACTGAGGAGACATTGCTGCTTCTCAAGGGCGTAAATGACCCAGAAGACACGAGCTTGGTCGGACTGAGCGGCCGAGGAGCGATGATAGCGGAGAACGATGGCCATGCGAGCAGCGTGGGCGACGAGCGCGTCGTCGATCTGCAGGCAGCACGCGTTGAGAGCATAGATAGACTGTGTTTGTCAGGAAGTGTCACTATGAGTGGCAGAGACGACTGACCATGGCGGTGATAGCTTGAACGTTCTCGAGTGACTCTCGTGGGAGTATGATCTCTGCCATGTGGCCTAATGATACCTGGAAGAGCTCCCATGATTTACCCGTGCCTGGAGAATAGGTACCCTGACGGAAGAACTGGCTTCCTAGTGCCAAAACAGCATGGTAGAGAGCCGAGAAGATGGGATTTTGATCAAGCACATGCGGCAGCTGCGGACTGAAGGCTTTGGTTTCAAAAATGTCACGGTCCAGGAAAGGGTAGACGGGATGTAGGTTTTCGAAATAGGCTAGATTGTCAGCACTACTGCTGCCGAGAGGAAGAAGACAGCTCACCTCGGATGTAGTCTCGTGCCTCATCGGAAGTTACCTGAGGACCCTTTGGTGGCTTCATGAATTGAATCCGTGTCCATGGTGACGGCCTTGTCAGGCTGAGCCTCTCGACGATGATGTTGTCGAGCTTCTCAATCAGTTCACGTAAGTGGGCGCTGCCCATCCTGCTGGTCAGGGAAGCGACCCTCTGCTCAGAGAAGAAAGCGAGACCACAACTTGAGACTGGCTACATGAGCAGATGGTACATCGTGAAGCTTCGGATGAACTTACTCTGCTCATCGGGGACCTAGGATGGGAATTAGTGCACATTGGAGTAAAAGATGGTGATAAACGTTGTCACACCTTGATGACAAAATCCTCGTTAAACAGGATCGGTTCATTGGGCTCCTCGAGACTATGCAAAATGCGATCGACGTAAAGGTCGCCTGTATCGGGATTGCGGCCTGATGGCGGCACGGAGGAAGGCACATCGGGTTCTGGAACTTTAGCGCTGTCAGCGAAGCGGCGCGATTCAAGAGTGGGGGACCAAACCTTGAGCCTTGGGCTTCCGTCGGAAGGGGCTGAAGTGGCAGTCATAATTGCGTGACTTCAAACAACAGAGCGAGGTGTCAAGAACGTCCGACTAGCACGCGGCCAAGAAACCGGCGCGTGAGGAGCAGAGGGGCACTTACGGCGCAGTAGGCACACACTGGGGGCTTTCCGAGTGCCGGTTCCGGTGCTGACGATGAGGGGAAGAGCGGTTAGGAAAGGCTGCGAGGTTCATTTGAGAAAAGATCCGACTCACCGATGCACCGTATCTTTCGACGGCGACATTGGTCGCATGTCCGGTTGACTTTGTGCATTTTACGAGCCGCGAGTGAGGTGGTGCGTTCAACTGCAATCGCCCTGTGCTCAAATAGTTAGAGTCGACTTCGCAATCTTGAAGGGCAGAGCAGCAAGCGTTAGGGAGGGCAATGATTGAACTTTCGTGATCCAGGCAGGCAACACTTGGATTATTCGTGGTTGCACCAAACCGTCATTTTGGACTAGTCTCGCGGAGGAGCTTACGTTGACAGCCTAAGGACGGTGTCCCGCGGGCTCCGGAGCCTACACGTGCTGTAACGTGCTGCGCTTCAGGACCCTGTTGGCTAAAGTTGGGTGAGCACCACAGCTTCAAGGACAATCGCCAGCCACTTGACTCAGTGAACTGACCAAAGTTTCTACTGGTTAAAGCGATAAGAAGTACAGATCTTGCTTTCCTTGCTTGGAGGTATTAACAGTCTTTCTCGTGAATACATTGCCTGCGTCAATTGCTTATCTCATCCCTTTCATGCCCACATTTGGCTCGAGCACATAGAATGATCACCGCCTACCTAAAGAGCTTTGTTCTACATCTAAGCAGGTGCTACTTCAATAAAAGTAATATACAGGCAGTTAGATTTCTAGTTCGCTATGTCCCTTGATCTAACTGGTGACACATTTTCTACCACTCAGCTTTCGATCATACGAAGTACTGAGGCCAAATTCAGGCAGTAAAGGGGTAACTAATCCTTAATCTGAAAAATCGTACAAGTAAGACATGTCCGCTAGGCTTCTTGAGACGTGGCTGGATGGAAGGCGGTGCGATTCAAAGTGGGTGAGTGATAACGGGTGAAAGAGCAGATTCGAGGTCTGGAAGACGCTGCAAATGGCGCATCGGTTACGTTGAACGTCTCCAGATGGAATAACGAATCAAATATGTGCTTCTTCAAGCAGGGAGATAGCGCGGATGGAGGCGGCTCCGAGAAGTAGCGATCGAGAGGAACGAACTCGCCACTACCGCCAGACTCGGCAAGGCATGTGTTGGCCAAATACCCATTGTCCAGAAGACGATTTATGTCTTGTGGTGCCCGAATATCGCCATCGTCAGACGAAGACGAAGAAATGAGAGGATGGGTGACCATCGATGTATTAGGTTTAGTCCTCCGCCTACCAGGGTCTACAGGCCGCGTCAAATAGGTCGTGCTGATGAACAACCCCTCCAAGATTCCTCGTCTCTTCCACCACCAAGAGCGCACAGGGCAGTGCATCCCTTCAGCTGACCACCGCCTGGAGGCTAAGCTCCAACGCCACCGGCTCTCGTCGAGGCAGAGACATGAGGCCCCCCCCCCGGGCCATTCAGGGTCCGCGGCATGCTGGCCCGATACGCGGAAATGGATGTCATGGTGTCACAACCACCCTAACGGTAGAGTGACACCTCAGCAATCTTTGCCCCAGACGGATGTGCACAAGGGTGCACCGCATCCATCGCGCCAAACACGCAGCCCCAGGAGACGTCATGGGGCGCCCAGCGAGGCTGATCGAATCCGACTTCTAGAAGGCGTCTACCTGATTCGGGAAGCATTCTCGCGGTCCTCGCATGACACGTTGTGATGATGGGGTCCTCGACGCATTTAAAGTCCCTCGGTCGCAGCACCCTTCGTCGACAAAATGCTCATAAATCTCATGACACTCCAAGTCTTTCCACTATACCAAACTACAAGTACACTCGAACAAAACCTACAACCAAACCAAACGAACCAATCATCTAGGCCCAAAAATAAAATCGCCTGAGATTTCACCTTTTACAATCATCACCTTGATCCCTACCTACCAACCCATCCAGACACCATGTGCTTCGGCAGCAGCAGCAGAAAAAACAACATGTACGACTACAGCCCTCGCCCAGTCATGGCCGACGCATCAAGCTACCGGCGCCGTCAGCCGCGCAGTCGATACGGAGGGAGGCACGGTCATTACACAGGCGGTTACGTTTTTGCAGGCGATGCTGGCTATGGAGGCCACCACGGGCACAGCTACGGTGGTGATGGCGGCGGCGGGGGCGGCGGCTGCAGTGGAGGTGACGGTGGAGGCGGCGGCGGCGGTTGCTAAGGGGAGTTGGACATGGTATAATTTGTATTACGATACCCTCAGCGATGATTCGCGAAATTTTCTGTTTTTCTCAAGACAATTGGGCTTGTCTCATCCCAAGGCCTCTTTTCCTGCGAGGTGCTTAAACCTGTTTCGCCTGCCCGTCGGCCGCACCAGATTCAAGCAGACCCTGTAGAATCGCCAGATCTTTCAGTGCCTGTGCAGTGTCTGCCTCTCATCAGTAGTGCCTTTTCCAGA